ATGTCTTTTTGAGACATGGTCTCCCTGTAGCCCTTGTTGGCCTGGAACTTTCTTTGTAGACCAGGCCGGACTCAAACTCACAGAGATGCACCTGCCGCTGCCTCTTGAGTTCTGTAATTAAAGGCGAGCATGGTCTTTTTGAGACAGGGTCTCCCTATAGCCCCAGCTGTCCTGGAACTCACTTTGTAGACCAGGCTGGCCTTGAACTCACAGAGATCCGTTTGCCTCTGCCTCCTAGTGCTGGGATTAAAGCGTGCGCCACCACGCCCGGGATTGTTTTGCTTTTTTAATGCAGCACTGGACTTTGTGCTAGGCAAGCACTCTACCAACTGAACTCCATTTACAGCACTCAAAATATGTTTTTTAAAGTAGCTTGTTAAAGGCTGGTGAAATGACTCAGATGGTAAAGGTACTTGTGCCAAGCCTGAAGACCTGAGTTTGATCCCTTCCACATGGTGGAAGGCAAGAACCAACTCTCACAAGTTGTCCTCTAACCTCCACATGCACATCATGACACATTTAAGTGCATCCACACACAGACACACACCACACAATCAATCAATCAATGTAATAAAACTAGCTTGTTAAATAAACACAAAGCTTCTGAGGTATGAGGGTATGTGATAGTTTAATGTGTATTCTGAAACGCATGTCTTTGTTATTATTTTGAGCCCTGACCTTTTGTTCTTTTCTTTCTTTCTTTTTTTTTTTTTAGGAAATTCACACAAATGAAAAGGAAGTAACAGAGAAGGAAGTCGCTCTTCACTTGTTGCCAGGTAACAGTCATGTTAGCATCATACCTCGTGCCCTGTGTACAGTTCAAAGCAAAGATAGATGACATCATCCCTAGCGCTGCTATATATAAACTCCTTTGTTTTTCATCCTCTGGCATGTAACAGTAATGAGTTGGACAAAGATGTCAAGGTCTTAGGTCCAGTAACTCCACACCTGACTATTACAACATTTAGAAAGAATTTTCTTGTTATCCTTTCCTATAGCCTGACGAAACTATACCTGGGAAAGTCTCACCTCTTTCACAAGCCAGTGAAGCCTTGTCCAGGTTGTCCTACTTGACCTCATCCAGTATTTCTGGTTTGCAATTAAAAAAAAAAAAAATCCAGGGCTGAAGAGATGGCTCAGTGGTTAAGAGCACTTGCAGAAGATCCGGGTTTGGTTCCCAGTATCCACGTGGCAACTAACAGCTGTTCATAACTCCAGTTCCAGGGGCTCCAACTCCCTCTTCTGACCTCTTTGGACATTACATGGCATAGGTGCACTTACACACATGGAGGCAATGCACTCATACACAAAAAATAAAAATAGTAAATATTAAAAAAAAATCCTAGTCCTTGGAAGAATCCTACACCCTGTGCATCATTCCTGATGCCTAGGTCTATAGTTACTCTTGAATAGCACACCTGCTTGGGCTTTCTAGGGTGGGTGGTAGTGGGTGGCCTCACCTGTCTGCTGGTGTATTTGAGCACAGGTACCAGGGATGCTGGAATTCACCAACCCTGGGGTCACTTGGGCTTTGCTCTGAAGTCACACGTTAATGAAAGAGCCCAGATGGGTTATTTCTGAGACAAAGGAGAGTAAATTTTAATCACTTCTGAGTTGAAGAACAGAAACCTCGCTGGGCGTGGGGGTACATGCCTTTAATCCCACTTGGGAGGCAGAGGCAGAGGCAGGTGGATCTCTGTGAGTTCTGTCCTCATATGTGGGAAATCTTGTCAACTCTATGTTCTTTTTCTACTTTTCCTAATTTAAAATAATTTCTTTTCAAGCCGGGTGTGGTGGCACATGCCTTTTTAGTACTAGCACTTGGGAGGCAGAGGCAGGCGGATCTTTGTGAGTTTGAGGTCAGCCTGATCTACATAATGATTTCCAAGCCAGCTGGGGTTACAGGGAGACCCTGTCTCAAAAAAATTTTCTTTTTCTTTTCATAAGTGTTTGTTAGGAACATGGTCCTCCTGCCTGTCTCCTGAATGCTGGGGTCACAGCCATGTGTACTACATACAGCTTCAAAAGCCTTTTATGTGTATTTCCTCATAACTATGAGGCCTCCTGGTACTTTTTATTTTAGTTTAGGTTATTGAGGGTATATGAATATATCCAAGTTTCTGACTAATATGCTTCTTTCAGTAAGAACTAGAATCATATAATTTGTGTGTGTGCCTTGTGTGTGTATATATGTTTGTGTGTATGTGTGCTTTTTTTTCTTTTTTTTTTTTTTCTTTTTTGTCTTTTTGAGACAGGGTCGCCCTATAGCCCTAGCTGGCCTGGAACTCACTTTGTATTTGTAAACCAGGGTGGCTTCAAACTCACAGAGATCTGCTTTCCTCTGCCTCCTGAGTGCTGGGATTACAGGCGTGCGCCACCATGCCTGGCTTGTATATGTGCATTATATGTCTGTGGTGTGTGTGTGTCACATGTGTGCATGTGGAAGCCACAACCTTGGGTGTTATTTCTCCTCATGTGCTATCCACCTTGTTTTGAGGGTTTCATACTGGTGTAGGCTCACCTGTTAGGCTAGGCTAGACTGACTGTTCAGCAAACCTGAGGGATCTGCCTGTCTCCACTTCCTCACACGCCAGCATGCTCAGCTTTTTAACATGAGTTCTAGAGATTGAACTCAGGTCCTTATGCTTGTATAGCAAAGACTTAATTGACAAAGCTGTTTCCACAGCTTGTTATCCTATGACTTTTAAATAATGTTTTTGAATTTCAGAGCCTTTTTTTTTCTTTTTTTTTTAAATAATTCTTTTTTAAAAATTACTTAATAACCACATAATTAGAAGCATTTCATTACAACAGCGTTGACATATTCAATAACAATTTCCAGAGCTAAGATGCATCTCTTTCAAAATTGGCTGTAAATTTTTAGGTTCACAGTTGAATTAACACAGTTATATAGTATTATACTCAGTATAAACCCTATTAAGACATAAAATTGAATGAGGTTTTAACCTTTCAAAAAGATCTCCATTTCATTTTAAAATATACTGTTTCATACAGAAAAACTCATTTTTAATGCAACTAACACTTAGATGTTTGCACATGCATCGCTAATCTCTATATATCTGATTATTACTAGTCACCGTCATTTATTTTCTGAGATCCTTGGCACCTAAGCACGGATATAAAGTGATCAGGTAGATTTCAATGGTAATGTTTTTCTCATCTACTAATTTACATGAAGCAAATTTTTATGCCTCTTCCTCAAATATAACTCACTTTTTAAATTTATTGATTTTTGTGTGTGTTATTTCATATAGAACATTTCAAACAATCTTATTCATCTATATACCCACATCCCAAGTGGCACCCTCCCACAGCCCCCACCCCCACCCCCCTGGAGCCCATATACAATGTCATCCCTGTTATTGTCCACTGTGTTGTCAGTACCCCCAGCCATTCTCCAGTGCTTGTCCATCTGTTCAGTCAGCCATCTAGAGTTCCTTATTTTAGGAAGATCAGCTGTTCCTCATCTAGCAGCAAGCAGTTGCCAATTTTCCTTTAGATAAGATTGGGGTCTGCTGTTCATTTTCCCAGTTCTATCCTGGGTTACTGTCTGGGAATCTCTTGGGCCATCCTGGCCAACAACTCAAAGGAAGGTATCTCCTGTCTGGCATTGTTTCTTGTTATGTAGCCTTTAGCTAACACATGGACTCTTAAAGAATAAAGAATTATATTGATCCCTTTTATCTTTGGTTATACCTTCCTTTTGGATGTTTAAGACCATGGAGTTGGCCCAGATAAACCAATTTATTTTAAAACTTCAGGTCGTTTGGAGCCTCTTTTCTTTAATGATGACCTAAGTCTTGAGCCCTCCTATGATTGATTTTTTCCCCCTCCTTAGAAGTATAGATTTTGAAATTATCCTTTTTTTTTGGAGCAGATTTTCACCACGTAGCCCTGGCTGACTTGAAACTTACCATGTAGACCAGACTGGCGTTGAACTCACAGAAACCTGCCTGCCTCTGCCTCTGCCTCTCCTCTGCCTCTGTGTTGAGATTAAAGGTATGTACTACCACAGTTAAGTTTTACCTTTATTTTTAACTTGGTGTTAAATATATTCTTCCATTTAGATTACCTGATAGCCTCTTCTAGGTGTGTGGCTTTTGCACTCACAGTTAAGTTCTCTGAGCTTCAGTTGTCTAAACTAGACAAAGAGCCTTCTTGGATCCCAGCTGCATGTCCATGTCTGGTCCAGACAAGGTGGTGGTGCTGTAGCATACCATGTTGCAGAAGGAATGCTCTGACAGCTGCTGCCCATTGGTGTCTGCTCTCTATTGGGCAACCATGAGATGAGACCCTCTTGGTCTTGGAGAGAGTCTCACATATTAAAACCTGTTTTCTGTTGGGAGTTGGAAGGACAGGAAGGCTTGCCCACATACCTTTTACCTTGACCTTGGCTGAGGTACTTTTTCTGGGACCGTTTTAAACCCCAAAGGGCCCTGACTTCATTCTTCAAATTTTTAAAACCAGAGACTGACCTAGTGACTGATATTTTCTTAGTGCTTTAGTTGGAAGTACCCAACCCCTTGGATAGTGGAAAAAAAGTACTATACTACATGCCCCTTGCTAGTCTGAGTAGCTAAAATACTTGCTTTTCTTTGTTTTCATGGTGAAAGCTATACTAAATAATTTTTAGCCAATAAATGAATTCAAAGATGAAGAAATCCAGAGGGAGGTTGTGAGGGAAGATGGTTGGGCGACAAGAAAATACCTTTTCTTTTTGCATAGTACTTACACTTTGTTTCCCATTTCCCCTGTTTCCTTCTCTTTCCTGCCCTCACCCAGGCACTCAGCCCTTGAGAACTTCTCCACTTCCAGGGAGTGAAGAGTGCTTACCTTTCTCCCAGGCCTAGCTTTTTTGCCTATGAAGTGAAACTGTAGCTTCTGATGTGGGCTGGGTGCCTGCAGAAGGAGCAGGGGAGGTGGCACGTTGAGAGGATAGACTTTGAGCTAAGGAAGAGAGGATAGGTTCTGTTTTCTGTCCCCACCGGTGCTCTGGGCATGCAGCCAGGATGAGATGGAGGTGCTACAGAAGGCACAACACCTCTGCTGTCTGAGGAAGCTGCTTCCACAGGAAAAGGGGCTGGGTCTGCATCCAGAACCTACTGGCCAACCTGCCTGCTTTTGCTCACTTCAGGTATCACTGTTATGGGACATCTGCTGAATCAGAGTAATGAAAACACCAGAATATGCATTAGAGAGTGCTGAAAGGCAGGTACCCTTGTGCCCAGCTGTAATTTCAGCACTTGGGAATTGGAGGGAGGAGTATTACTATGAGTTAAAGGCCAGCCTAGACTACATAATGTCTCAAAAAAATAGAGTTGGACATGGTAGCACACACCTTTAATCCCAGCACTTGGGAGACAGAGGCAGGTGGATCTCTGTGGGTTTGAGGCCACCCTAGTCTACATAGTGAGTTCCTGGCCAACTAGGGCTACGTAGTGAGACCCTGTTTAGAAAATAAATAAATAAATAAATAAACAAAATTTTAAAAACAGAAAAAAGAAGCTTGTGATCATAACCACCTTCCATTATTCCAGTGAAAAATCAGAGAAATCCCTGCATGAAGGTGGCCTAGCCATTTGGCTTGCCTTGTTCTTTTTTACTTTCTCACTTTGTAATTCCTGCTGCTCTAGAAAGTGGTATGTGGTGGAGTGCTGCACTGTACTGTGTGTTTGTCTTTATGTCAGCAGAGCTTAGTACCTACATTCTCTGCGGTCCCTGAGGACTCTGAGGCAAGCTTGCTTTCATTTCCACCAGGTGAACAGCTGCTTTGTGAAGCCAACACAGTCCTGAAGTATGTGCAGGAAGATTCCTGTCAGCGTGGAGTCTATGGGAGACTTGTCTGCACCGACTTCAAGATTGCCTTCTTGAGTGATGATGAATCTACTTTGGATAATGACGTATGTATGAGCTGGATTTGCTGAGTTGAAAGGGCAGGTACAGTTGTGACTTCATTGGTTTTCCCACAGCTTCTCCCTCCTCCCAACACAGAAATCCAAATAGAAGACAGAAATGCCTCTCATTCAGAAACTGTTACCTGTGGCCAGGTGTGGGGGCACACGCCTTTAATGCTACCTGTGTGCCACGTTACATTGTCCTTTTTTTTTTTTTGTCTTTTTGAGACAGGGTCTTCCTGTAACCCCAGGTGGCCTGGAACTCACTATGTAGACTAGGCTGGCCTCCAACTCACAGAGATCCACCTACCTCTGCCTCCCAAGTGCTGGGATTAAAGGCGTATGCCACCACGCCCAGCTCTTTTGCCCTTATAAATTGGTGCTGACAACTTTTTCTTGTCTTCTCTTGGATTTCAGCACAGTAAATCACTGATTGGATTCACATCTCAAATATACTAGTTTCTTATGTTTTTTCTATACTAAGCTCTTCCACAAATTTGGGGATTGAGTTCTGTAATGAAACTGATCAATAATGCCACCTTTGGAGTTAAGCATAGTGGCACATGCCTTTAATTCCAGCACTTGGGAAGCAGAGGCAGGTAGATCTCTGTGAGTTCTACTCTAGGTAGAGTTCCAGGCCAGCCAGGGCTGCATAGTGAGACCCTATCTTAAACAAAATGAAAAAAAGAAAAAAACAAAACAAAATGCTGCCTTTGAAGTTGGATTTGCCTTCCATGTAATCTGAACCTAGTTGCAGTGTCCTTGTGAGTCTTGTGTTTCCTTAGGAGCAGGTGGAGAAAGAGAACTCTGTATCCCACCCCACCAAGGCCATTTCTGGCCCCCACATGCCAGCTGCCCTAGACCCCCTTTTCTTTTTAAAAAACAGCTCTATTGCTACCAAGACTAGCCTTCTGTACTGCTCTCTACTACTGATGCTTGGTTCCTATTCCTGTAAAGACAGCATTTACCAGAACTTGAATCTCCAGGTGTTTCCCCTAAACTGTCCTCAGGTAGCCCTGTCAGTCACTTTGTGTTTGTGTGCAGAAATACTAACGTGCGTTTCACTTCCTCACGCTTTTCCATGTGATTGACTGTGGCATAGTGAATTTACCTGGGAGCAACCCAGAAGTGCTGTCTTCTGCCTGGTTGGAAAAAGCTGGTGCTCATGAACTCTTCTCACTTAGTGCTTGGGATGTGTGGATGCCTTTCTCAGTTACCTCAGTGCACACTGGAGAATGGTGATTTTCTCTGCCTGGAAACGTTGAAGTTCATAGAAATAAGTCACAGTTGTTTGAATTTTCTTTTTAGGAAACTCAGTTTAAGAATAAAGTGGTAGGAGAAAATGACATTACACTCCACTGTGTGGATCAGATTTATGGAGGTAAGTAGCTCTTTCCATGGACTTTTGCCTGTCTTTGTATATACTACTAATAATGATAATGTTCTTATATAGTCTAGTAAAATGTGTTATATAGTTATCTTGTGTAAAGCAGCTTTATGGATGATAAATTGAACCATGAAGTAGCTTGTTTGGGGTTGCTTAGTTAGAAGTGATCCAAGTTGAACTTGGAGCCTCTTTATTTATTTTGTATGCTTGCTTTTAAATATTTTTTTTTTACTACACACTATATATTTGTGTGTGTGTATGTATATATGTGTGGGTGTACATGTGGAGGTCAGATGACAACCTGTGGGAGTTTGTTCTCTCCTTCTATCTACCGTGTGGATCTTGGGAATTGATCTTGAGTCATCAGGCTTGGTGACAAACACATTTACCCACTGAGCCATCTCACTGGTTCATCTCTTGTTCTTTTGAAATTTTTTTTTTTTTTTTTAATATAGCCCACTAGCCTCAAACTCATGATCCTCCTGCTTCTGCTGCCTGAGTGCTGGTTTATAGGTGTGAGTCATCACACCTAAATTGAAGCCTGTTTTTTCTAATACTTCACAGGAGACCATTCTCTGTTAGCTGTTGATCAGCCCAGGTTGGTTGTATGCAGTGGGGGAGTATGAAGGCCAGGGAAATATGCTTGATATACATTAGTTGCCTGTATGACAAGGTCCTTATGTCACATAGTACCATGTACAATGACTGTATAGAATGAGAATTTAAAGACAGAAGCAACTTTTCCATTAAAAAAAATAAAAAGGCTGGTTATATATAATACAATAGGATGTCTTTTCTGCTGACGAAACAAGACTATCCTGCCAAACCCCACTGTTTTCTGTTCTCCATTTTTGGGTTCAGAGCATTTTCAGAAATCCTTCAGCCATTAAAGATATTCTCAGCACTAGCAGGAGAGTCCAGGCTGAGGAACAGGGAGGCAGATGTTAGGAGGGGTTATACCATAAATTTAGGAGTTGGCTGCCATGAAAGTATGTCCTGTCCTGAGCACTGTCCCTCCCATCCTCTATGATAACAGGAACTGGATTTTCTTTTTTTTTTTTTTTTTTTCCGGTCTTTTTGAGACAGGGTCTCCCTGTAGCCCCAGCTGTCCTGGAACTCACTATGTAGACCAGGCTGGCCTTGAACTCACAGAGATCCGCCTGCCTCTGCCTCCCGAGTGCTGGGATTAAAGGCGTGTACCACCACTCCCGGCTAGATTTTCTTTTTTTTTTAAGATTTATTTTTTATTTTTATTTATATGTATGTATCTGTATCTGTGCTTATATGCCATATGTGTGCAGGTGCTTGTAGAAGCCAAACAGGGCATCGGATCCCCTGGAGCTTGAGTTAGAGGCAGTTATGAGCTGCCTGATAAAGATGCTGGAAAGCAAACTGTAGTCCTTTGGAAAAATAGGAAGTGCTCTTGGCCACTGAGCCATCTGTATAATCCCCTTGGAGCTGGGTTTTCTTCAGACCATTAGAATCTGTTTTACTGTCTGTTGAGTCTTAGCTTACTCCAAAGTCATGAAGAAGCCTGCCTGTTCTTAGAGAGCCAGGACCCCTGCTGGAAGGGACTGGCCTTGGCCTTCTGGCCTCAGAAGCTAACAGTCTACCTTGTTTTTTTTAGCATTTATTTGTTGCTATGTAATATTAATTTCTACTCCTGATTTCATTATTGATCTGTAGTATTTGATGAGAAAAAAAAAACTCTGTTTGGACAACTGAAGAAGTACCCTGAGAAACTTATTATCCACTGCAAAGATCTCCGAGTGTTCCACTTTTGTTTGAGGTACACAAAGGAAGAGGAAGTCAAAAGGGTAACTAATTGCATGTTTTTAGGTTTTATTTCCCATCAGGTTTTCCCCACTGACTGTAGGTTTTGCTTATATTGCCTGAAGCTGGAGGGGAGCATTTCACTCTGTGAAGCTGAAATTGGTTGTAAGGTCATTCTTTGATTAATGTGTGAGAGGTCATTGGAAAAAGCATGCCTGTGCGTTGACTTGGCATATGCTACATCTTTTCCTTCAATTCATAATGTTGTTTACCTAGAACCACTAAAGGATGGGAGGTGATGAGTGAGGTCAGAGTCAATTGGGGAAATGGTAGAAGGAGACAGGTAAAAGCTATTTTTCACCTCTGACAACCTAGCTAAAGATATGACTGCTGACTTCCAACTCCTGTAAATAAATGAGTTTATCTCTGGGAGGTAGTAGTTGTGTGTGGGAGGAACACAGGTCAGATGAGCAAAGTCAGGTTACCAAGTATACCTTTGGAGATTAATCACATCATTTCCTGGTTGTCACAGCAAGTTGAGATCATGAAGTGGCTTCGCCAATTTGCTATTCATTATAACTTCAAGATTTTTCTTACTGAGATAGTGAAGATCTTATCTGCAGTGACCTCTGCATACTTGGATAACACCTTACCTTTCTTTCAGATAGTATGATAGTTCAGTCAGAATAGTAAATGGGATTCTAGTATCTATTCTGAGCAGGCAAAGAATGCTGTATCTAGAGAAAATTACTTGAGAAACAAGGTGCTTCATTTTTTAACAGTTGTTTTAGCCATTTATCCAAATATACTTTGTTTAACACAATAGACAGAAAGCACAATAGATTTCTTTTCCTTTTTTAAAGGGAGACAGGGTTTCATGTAGCCCAGGCTGGCCTCAAACTCTGTATGTAGTTGAGAATGACCTTGATTATTTGATCCTTCTACCTCCACCTCATAGAGTGCTAGGATTACAGGCATGTGCCACCAGGCTTTGTGCATATTAGGTAAGTACTCTACCAACTGAGCTTCCTGAGCCCCTCTTTCTCATTTTCTAAAAGGTCTACAAGTGTGTTAGAATGGCTAAGGGTCTTGGCTGTGAGTTTTTGAACATGTCAGACATTTGAACCTCACTTAATCGGGTATATTAGTCAGGGTTCTCCAAAGAAACAGAACCGGTAGATTTATCAGCTTAGCTCACAGGATAGAGTCCAAGTAGTCCAATGATGGCTGTACCACACTGGGGAGGCTGAGAATCTGTAGTTGCTCAGTCCACAAGGCTGGGTGTCTCAGTAGTCCCAATATGGCGCTGAAGGTCTGATGAATTCCAAAAGATCAGCTAGTCTTCAGTCTACAGCAGCAAGACAAACTCACCAGCAAGAGAGAAAGCAAGCAGCAAGAAGCCTTGGCCTTTTATACGGACTGCCATCAGAAGGTAACACCCACATTTAGGGTGTGTCTTCCGGCTTTAGATAATCCAATCAAGAAGATCTCTTTCATTTCAGTTAATCCCAGATCCAATCAAATTGACACCCAGGATTAGCCATCACATAGGGCATTTGAACTTTTTTGTTTAACACTTAGTTTCTAGAAAATTAGAAATCCAGAGCTCTTAGAAAGCATGACAATAAGCACTCTGTTGGTCTGCATATTCCAAGAGCCAAGACATAGCTTCAGCTCCAACAAGGTTGTAGTGTTGTTCCCATAGCCCTATGCATGATGGAGAACATAGACAAGTTGGCTCCTGCCCTCCTAGTGCTGATCTATCTAAACCATAACTATATCCATTCACCCTTCTTTTCTAGATTGTCAGTGGCATAATTCATCATACCCAGGCTCCTAAACTGCTTAAAAGATTATTTCTATTTTCCTATGCAACTGCTGCACAAAACAATGCAGGTAAGTAGATTCTGAGCTTGAATTTGAGGGTAGGCGGGATCCTTTCTATTAGGTTTTTTTTTTTTTTTTGGAGACAGGTTTTCTGCCTCAACCTCTTGAATGCTTGGATTGCAGGCTACACTGCGACCCTAGAAGGGTCTTCTCACCTGCAACCAGGAGGAGAAACCCCATCTCAGTTGGTTTTGCATCTCCATGACATATACTTGACAGAAAGGAAGATGTATTTTGGCTCGTGATTTGAGAAGGTTCACTCCATGGTGGGCTTCGCCCATGCACTTGGCAGAACACTTGGTAGCAGGAGTATATGGTGGAGGATGTTCTTTACCTCATGGTAGACAGGAAACAGAAAAAAGGGAAAGGGAACACGGACCATACATAATTTTCAAAACACACCCCACTGGCCTACCTCCTTCAGAAAATCCCCATCTCCCAAAGTTTCTACATCCTCCCCAGATAACACCATGCCTTTGGGCCCAAGCATTCAACAATAATAACATCCTTTTTGTTCCCCTTCCCTCTTTTTTAAAAAAATTTTATGTTATTTTTATGTGTATGTGTGTATTGCCTACATGTAGGTAAGTACACCCATGTCGTGTCATACAATGCCCTCGGAGGTCAGAAGAGGCTGTTGGATCCCCTGGGACTGGAGTTATGGACAGTTGTTAACTGCCATGTGGGTGCTGGGATTCAAACCTGGGTCTTCTGCAAGAACAACCAGTGTTCTTAACTGCTGAGTCATTGCTCCAGCCCCCCCTTCCCTCTAACAGTTGGTCATTCCTTGCTTGGATGATTCATTTACATTTCTTTTTTTTCCTGTCATCTAAACTTACTTATTAGATTTCTTTGCATATTGCAGTGTATTGTTTGTGTGGTTACTTCTTATGAAAGGTAAATCAGGGACTAGAATGATGACTTGGTGGGTAAAGTGCTTGCTGTGCAAGCATGAGGACCTGAGTTTGAATACCCAGCATCCATATAAAAGCCATGTGCAGTGGTGCATGTCTATAACCCCAGAGCTAGGGGCAGAGTCAGGTGGATCCTGGAAGCTCTCTGGCTAGCCAGGCTAGCCCAAAGAGCAAGTTCTAGGTTCAGTGAGAGACCTTGTCTCAAAAAATAAGGTGGAGGGGCTAGAGAGATGGCTCAGTGGTTGAAAGCACTGGCTGCTCTTGCAGAAGACCTAGGATCAATTCCCAGCACCCACATGGTGGCTAACAACTGTCCATAACTCCAGTTCCAGAGGATCTGATATCTTTATCTGACTTCTACATGACACAGATGCACTTACACACATGCAGGCGATACACTCATACACATAAAATAAAAATAATAAATAAAAATATTTTTAAAAAATAAGATGGAGGGGACTGGAGAGATAGCTCACTTGTTAAGAGCATTGGCTGCTCTTGCAGAGGACCTGGGTTCAGTTCCTAGCACCCACATGGTGGCTAACAACTGTCCATAACTCCAGTTCCAGAGGATCTGATATCTTTATCTGACTTCTACATGACACAGATGCACTTACACACATGCAGGCGATACACTCATACACATAAAATAAAAATAATAAAATATTTTTAAAAATAAGGCGGAGAATAATAGAGGAAGACACCTAATGTCAATCTCTGGCCTCCACATCTGCATGCCCAGTCATGTACACACATGTATACATTACACACAAATTGAAATTTTTTTCATTAAAAATTGGCAAAATCAGTATATTGTACTGGGAATGTGAGACTCTAGAAAAAAACAAAACTGAGGCAGAATTTAAAATAACCTTTTTGTCCCTAGGTTTTTTCTGTGTAAATATGCTTGATTTTAGAAAATGTCTTATATTCTACAAGGGTTTGAAATAAGAAGAACATACTATAAATAGGACATTTATGCATAAGAAAAACTTTCCAAATAGGTTACTTCATAAAATAAAACTCAGCAGGCCTGCTAATGCATGCCTGTAATCCCAGCACTTGAGAGACAGAACCAAAAGGATTTCCACAAATTGGAAGGCCAGATTGACCTAACAGTGAGTTCCAGATTAGTCAGGGCCACATAAGAGATCCTTGCAGGGCGGGGGGAGGTAAATTTTTTTTTTTCATTCAGTTTGTAGAAAAGAGCACTTTTTTTTTTTTTTTTGGTATTTTTGAGACATGGTCTCCCTGTAGCTCCAGGTGGCCTGGAACTCACTATGTAGACCAGGCTGGCCTTGAACTCACGGAGATCCTCCTGCTTCTGCCTCCTGAGTGCTGGGATTAAAGATGTGCACCACTACACCCAGCCCAAAAAGAACACTTTTTAAAATAAGAAACTCTGGGCATTTGCATCAGCCATGGGCTGGTGAGATGACTCAGCAGGTAAGGGTGCTTGCCACTAATCCTACGACACATGGTAAAAGGAGAAAACATACTCCTGCAAGCTGTCCTGACCTCCACACATGTACACACACATACATTTACAAAATAAATAAGTAAATGTGATTTAAAACAAAGAAAATGGTGTATAGCATGGGCTATGTTTTCAGTTGTCTGTCCTCTTTCACTTTTCTCCCCCTAGTGTGTTCACTCAGTTTACCTGGTTGTCTCCATTAGAAATGGGTAGTTACTCATCATGGCTCCTACATCAGAGATATCTGGCTGCTTTGTTTAAAAATACACACTACTGGGCGTGGTGGTGCATGCTTTTAATATCAGCATTCAGGAGGCTCAGTTACTGACTGAGATATCTCCCCAGCCCAAGTGTTTTAATTTCTTGCCTTATTTCTTCAATCACTCACTCATCATTCAAGAGTTTGTTGTTCATTCTTTTAAGTATTTGTGTTGTTTCTGTAGTTTTTCTTGCTACTGATTTCTATTTTTATTCCACTAGGATTTCATGAGATACAAGAAATAATTCCAATTCCTTGTTAAGACTTGCTTTGTTACCTATGATGTATGTGATCTATTTTAGAGGTGGGTCCATGGGCTACTAAGAAGAATAATGTGTATTCTGTCTTTTACAAATGAATTTATTTTAAATATTTATGTGTATGAGTGTTTACCTGCATGTATGTAAATACACCATGTGCTTGCAATGCCTGTAGTGGTCAGAAGACATTGGATCACTTGGAACTGGAGTTACATATGGTTATTAGCTGCCATGTGGGTGCTGGGAACCAAACCTCTACAAGAGCAGCCATGCTCCTAACCACTGTATTCTATCCTATTCTTTACACCATGTATTCTATTTTTATTAGATGGAATATTCTGTAGATATCAGTTAAATCTATTTGATCTGTGGTGTAGTTTAACTTTGAGGTTTCTTTATTCTATTTTAATTTGGATGACTGATCTAAAGATGAAAATGAGGCATTAAAGTAACATAATATATTTATCAGGAACCATCAACCCTTTTATGCCTGTTAGTATTTGTTTTATCAAATTGAGAGATTTGGTGCATGTATGTTTATGATTGCTATATTTTCTTTTAGTTTCAAGTCTACTTTTTCAGATACCAGAATAGCTACCCCATCTTGTTGTTGGCTTCCATTTGCTTGATAGATTGGCTTCTCTCAGATTGAATTCTCAGTCTGAGTGTCTCTGCCAGTGAGGTATGTTTCTTGAACATAGTAAATGATTGAACCTGATTTATTTTTAGGCTTATTATTATTATTTTATTTATTTATTTAATTTTTTTGGTCTTTTTGAGACAGGGTCTCCTTGCAGCCCCAGCTGGCCTGGAGCTCCCTATGTGGACCAGGCTGGCCTTGAGCTCACAGAGATCCACCTGCCTCTGCCTCCTGCG